TTAAGATTTATGACTATAATAATAACTTTTATAGATAAATTCTTTCTGTGGACTATGTGATGTCATCCACATTGAAAGGTAGACTTATGTAACTACCGAAGTTTCGTCTTTGGCTCAGTACCCAGAATATGTAACTTTATTTTTCCTTGAATGTTCGGTCTTATTCTAATTTGGGTTTGCGTTTAACTATTATATACTTATTATATATTTATTCACTATTAGTTGTTTATACAACTTAAGTAGTTTTCCGCCCGCGGATTAGTTTGTGTAATTGAAATAGATTGAGGTCAGGCCAGAAATAAAACAATAATAATATACAATGGCACGAAGTTTGAAGCAATAATTTAGTCCTGATAAATTTATGTTTTGTTTAACATACCCGTCCTAATTATAGTATGGATGTTATTCTTTAATTGTAGTAAAGATTAGAAAATAAATGCTATTTATCGACAGTTGAAACTCTCATTATCTTCTCCATTCCGCCAAAAAGGTCAAAATCATTTATTTCAATTAGACCAGAAAGGCACTTTTGATGGTCAACAAAAATGCGTCATTTCTTGATGCGCTTCTAATTCATGTTCATCACAGGAAAGTCTAAAAAGATTTCGCCTTCATTATTGATGAGTCGTGTACTTCGTTTCAAGCATACGTCTACAAGCTGTCATCGCTGAAACCGACCTCATTCTCTTATTCTACTTACCACGTATTCTTATCACGATATCTTCAAACACTGAGCTTCTGGTACGTGACAGAGTCAACTGTTATTATACCCCCGACATATTTGTATCTCATGAGACCATTCCACGGCATATTTTATTATTAACGTGTATGAAAAACCATCTCGAAATCTCATGTGAAGAGATGAAATGTTTCAAAATATTAAAAGTAATAAAATACTCTCGGTATGCGGAATATTTTCTGCGTTAGTATATTAGATGTATATTATGTTAGAAGTAATATTAGGTATGAGTAAAATTAGAGCTTCGTATTAAATCTGATATACTACACTAGTACTATCATAAATATGGCTCTAACTTTCGAATTTTTTGAGTAGGTAATAAGGTATATAATTGCTTACTTGAAAGGTAGGTCATATTTTTCAGAATATTTTTGTATATTTTTCTCATTCTGACGATTATTCAACTTGAATTAGTTGTCAGACAGCAAAGAAATCAAGTAGACATTTACTTACTTTGTGTAATGTGTTGTTATTTTTGTCTAAATGTAGGTATATGTTTCAGTTTTTAGAGTATGTTACGGTAAAAATGTAAAAGGAACTCTGTAAATATAATCCCGCTGTAAATCCGTCTGTTTGCTCATCACATAGCTGTCTCTTTTGAACAACACTGTGTCGACAAATCGATCGAAACAATCTATTTTCTCTAAATTTTATATCATTTATATATATCAGGTTCTTTAAGTAGCTTATGTCTAAATAATCAAACGCCCGCGTTCTACCACTACGAATTGGCAAATGTCGTGGTGGCCTGGGGGTTTAAGACGCCCGCTTCTCATGTACGAGGGTGCGGGTTCGAATTCTACCAACGGCAAGTATCAATGTGACTTTTTCAGAGTTATATGTACTTTCTAAGATATATAATTATATTCAGACACCACTGACAAACGGTGAAGGAAAACATCGTGAGGAAAGCTGGGCTTATAATTTCTAATTATAAGTTTGTAATCGCCAACCCGCATTGAGCAAGCGTGGTGATTAACGCTCAAACCTTCTTCGTGTGAGAAGAGGCTTTGCTCAGCAGTGGGCATTTATAGGCTGTTGATGACTACAAATTGGAACGGAGGTTTTTAGTCAGTAAGAGTCAAAAACTCCCTCCCGCCTCACCCAGGTGGAAGAAGTACATACATAACATCACGCCTTTTATCCTCGAAGGGGTAGGCAGAGGTGCGCATTATACGACTGTACCTCTACAAT